AACTACAGAAAATGAAGGAAAACACACACCTCAGAATAGTCAGTAGCTTGTCCAGGATCACATAGCTACTAAGTGGGCAGAAATGGTAGCTAGAACCTGATTTTAAAGTTCATATTCTTTCCTTTCTGAACTGGGATTTCTCCTTTGAACCACAAATAGAAAATTATTTGAGTAATTATTTATCAATTCTCTCAAAATTGGTACATAACTGGCACCATTTTAGATAGCTGGGAAGAAAACAGAATTCTTTGTAAGAAATGCCTTGGGACATTAGGGCTCAATTCTCAGGAAGATTCCTGGCTAAGAAAGACCATTATATGTTTTAGAAAGATGGACCTCGAAGTGGGACCTGTTTTCATCAGAGAAACAGTTGCTCAAACACCTAGAAAGTTCAGACATTATTGAAATTAGTCAGTTCCAGGCGCTTGAGGGAGAAGGCTCTAGCAACTTCCCTAATTTCTCCTCTCCTCCCTCTTCTTGCTCTGTTTCTCCCTCATACCTTTTCCTGTACTTGCAGTAATGTTGAAGCAGAGACTGTTCATACAGTTAGAAGTAGGATTTTTGAAGGTAAAAAACCAGGCCTGTGTGCCTACTTTTCTGTGAAGATTGGAGGTAGAAAACTGGCACCAGTTAATTAAAAATCATCTGGGAAATCCCACTACCCTTCCTGACATGGCTTAAGTTGCCCTTGCTCTAGGAAGTTTTCTGTAACTGACTCCACCTCCCTGCTCACCCAGGCAGAATCAGCTGTTTCCCTCCTGTGTCCCCACAGCACCTTGTCCACCCCTCTTCCAGACCATCTACCCACTGTAATTGCCTGTTTCCATATCTGTATCTTGCACTAGGCTGAAAGTCTCTTAAGATTAAGGATAGTTTGTCTGATCTATCAGGCCTGAACCACCTGAGGTTCATGGTTTCAGAGATGGCAAGTAGATCTGAGGTTATGAGTTATTTTACAGGTCAGAAACCTAAGGCTTAAAGAAGTAAGACAACAAACCAAAGCAAAATGCAGTTAATATGACAGGTAGAAATAAGTAGTTCAAAGTATGAACTCTCGAAGCTCAGAGGCTATGGCAGGTAGAATATAAAAGAATGCTGGGTGAAAAGACAGGTGGGAGTCATATAGCAGAGAGGAGACTTAAACCCAGTTGTACTATGCTATGAAGGCTTCCTGAAGATAAGTGACCTTTTAACAGTCTGTGCTAAGCACCTATTTCAACATGGTGGGATGTTAGAGGAGAATGTACTAAATAACCAGGAGAGGCTCTGAGAAAAGGTGGCTTTGAAAGTTAGGATTCAGATGAAACGGTGGCATTCAAGAAAGGTGAGATATGGACAGAGACAAAATTAAGATGGTTTTAGGTGGGAGTGAAGTTTCCATTTTGAGGGAAAAAAAAACAAAACAAACCACCAAAAAACGGGATTATCACTGCCAGGGTGAGAATTTTCTTTCTTTCTTTCTTTCTTTTTTTTTTTTTAAAAAGAATTTTATTTCTTTGTACAACAAGTATTAGTAAAAACTACCAGTCACAGAGAAACTACCAAGAACCAGGGATTTTAATAGACCTTCTAGTAATTCTCATTCCATCCCCGTGAGGGAAAAATTATATCACAGTTAAGAAAATGGAGGGCTCAGAGAGGTAAATGCAGCTAAAAGATAGGGGAGCTGAAATTCATACCTAGGCAAACCTAAGTAAAGCCTGAGGTGCCCTTTCCATTACTCCATGCTGCCTCCTAATGGGCCAGTGAGCTTTCCACATGCCTGACTCTCAGCTCTCAAACAGGACTTCTGATCAGAGCACAAGGAAAGTTGCCAAGTGAGGCCACCCTCACTCTAACCCTCTAAATCGCTGTGGATTAAGCAACGTCAGGGAAAAGGGCTCCGTGCAGAGCTCATGAGCAGAGACCTGTGTGTCTAAGCTTACCTTGGGCCTTACAAAGAGCCTACTTCTAAGCAGCTGCAGCAAAGCTGGTGTCATGTAAAACTAAAAAAAAAAGTTGGACAGTTAGGAAGACTTTTCTTGTCTTCCCTGATATCCGTTAGAGAAGGTCAGCTGAGGTCAGAAGATTTAGGAAATGTTACTGGCAATAGCCCCGAAGACAAGGGAACTGAATCCTGCCTCTCGGTTGGCTGGTCACAAATACAGGCAGACCAAAAGAGGTCAAGAGGGGAGGGAGGTCAGAATCTGGCAGGCTTGCAGGCCCTGAGTGACGGTCGCTTATGTAGGTTAGAGAGAGAGAAAAATACATGGGTTAGTGGTTTTGGCCCTTGAGGCTGGGAGGTTAGGGCAGAAGGTGTAAATGGAGTAAAAGGCAGGTGGGAGAAATGTAGAAGTTTGGGCTAAGGGCATCTGTTCCAAGTCAACATGCAGGAATCGAGTCCTTAGAATGGCTCAAGGGCTGGCCTGGGCCTGAGGGTAGGAGGGAGCTTCAGAAAAGGTCTACCTCCTCTTCATATCAAAGGTGTTGATCTGAAAGGCTGGGAGCTGAGGCTCCTTTTAATGTGACTTCTCTATCTGTGTAGGGGTTTGTAGGGAGGGAGTAATGTAAACTACTGGACAATGGCTGAGGCTCTCAATTGATTTTAAGGCATGGAAGAGAGAGGCCCCACAGTGAAAGTTCCAACTCTTAGCTACAAATGTCTCATAGGGGAGCTTTCCAAAGTACAAAGTGAGAAATACCCTGCATGGGGACATTTTCCACATCTCTGCTTCTGAGAACCCAGAGTAAGCTTTCATTCCAAATGCATCTGTTGTTCCAGGAAATGCTGCCACCACATCCATGAGTAGTCCTGCCCTTAAAAGGGTAGGTACCCAAGACTAAGGCATGTTCTGGTTGCTCTAGGTGGGTCCTTTGTAGGCTAGAGAGATGGGCCACGTCTGAGTTTTAAGCCAATAGAGCTGAGGATGACTGTAGGTAGTAAGTACGTGGAAGTCCTCTAGTTTAATCATATCAAAAGAGTGAGACATGGGGATGCCTGGAAGGACAAGGCTCTAGAAAAGTTCTAGAACTTTATTTGAAGATGTCCCTTTGAAAAGGGAGCTAGGCTACAGTAGACAGCTGGCAGAAATTATAGGGAGGAAGATTACTGGTCATTAAAAAGATATTTCAACCAATCAGAAATGAACTAAAATGGAAGATGTCGCTGTCTTTGGGGTTTTATCACTGATAAATTCAAGGACACGTCAGCTAGATAGCAATAAGGCAGGCAATCAAGGTGGCACGGAGAACCTCCAGACACCTTTGTAGCTCTGAAGTTCTATGACTAATGATTCAGTACAAAGATGACTCTGGGGTCCAGCTCCAAGAGAGAGTCCATAGGTACCAAATATATGGCAGTGTAGCAGGACCCTGGCAAAATGTTTCTCGCCCTATCTTAAGGAGAGGTAAGGGTAGGATAAGAGGAAGTGGTGTAAAGGAAAGTGACTGCCAGTGAGGTATTCAGCAAGCTGTTAGGTAACTACATCCATAGGACCTAGATCACAGCTTGAGCCCGTGAATGACCACAGCTTCAAACAGGCTTGAACTGGTTCAGTCACAGCCAATGCAGTAAAACTGCAGCAGATCCAAAAAGATGTGGGTGTACTGGAATAAGAAACAAAGCAGGAAAAATTCAAGGTCAAAGCTCTAGAATGGGAGATGCAGAAGCAGCACTGTGAGCTCTTTCAGGAGCTGGGTGTGGGAGGGTGGATTACTGCCAGGGCTGTAGAGTGTGGACACACATTCCAAGTGGTGAGGCCAGGCTGGAACTAGGCATTGTTATTCCCTACTCTGCCAGTCAAGAAATTTGGTTGCTATGCAATACACATGCTGCTCATGTTTTAAAAAAGGGAAATGAAGTTTCTAGGAAGGTGATGATCTATAATTTCTTTGTTATATAGTTATTATTCTGGCATATCCATATTTTACAAATTCTGTTCTTTCTAGTAGTCACTGTTGGCTATGACTGAACAGGGAAGAACCAGTTCAAAGTCCTGGAAAGGATAAACTTTGCAATTACATCCATCCAATTACAATGGATACTCTCAAATAACTCAACACATATTTTTCTTTTTTTAAAATAGATTTTCTTTCAATCACTCATAAACCTTTTTTGCCTTGTAACACTGAATATAGTGATATGATTTCATTATTTTTAAAATAAACTTTTATTCATTCATTGTTGCACTTTTTAATTGTATGACGCCATAACTTACCTCACCTTTTGAAATCTTGCTATCCTCTCCCTTCAGCCAATCCATCCATTTGCTACTGTCTGCTCCCTCTCCTTTTTCCTCTTGGGGTCAATCCTCTACAACTCTTTCTATCTCTGTGTAAATATTATCTTAGTCTCTCTTTCTCCCACCAATTTTCACTCCTAGGATCCCCAGAATTTGATAAGTAATGCTGTAACAAATATTTTTTGAAGAATGCCAAGAACTATGCTAGATGCTGGAGACATAAGTCAGCCATGCTTCTCTTCAGAGAGCTCAGAATCAAGGTAGGCAAAAGGCTATCGGACAAATAAAAACAACTTCAAATTGTGAAAAGTGATATGACAGAAAAGAAATGCACGTGCTGAAGTTAGTAGTGGAAGGGACTTAATTTAGGCTAGAGCACATGTAGTGACCAAAGAGGACCTCTTTGAGATTTGGGTTAGGAGGGAACTGAAGAGCTTCTGTACTGTTCCACTAGCCCTGGCCTGGAAGTTACAGGGGAGAAGAAAGGATACTTTTGGTTGAGAACAACAATCAAAAAAACTTGTACAGCAGTCAGATTGTTGTGGACACGTACATAAGCATATACACACACCCCCACCCCAGCACATGCAAAAGATATCTCAGGGAGGCAAATCAAATGTACACAGGTCACTGTCATGAAATATACCCATTTTGGAGGCATGTCAAGCTCTGAAAGAGTCAAAGGGTTCTGGATAAGCATGGCATTTCCAGAGTGGAGAGGCGGCAAAGTGCTTTTTTCCTTGCCAACTCAACCCCACCTCACCCAGCCCACACTGTCACCTCCATCAAGCAGCTCCTTCACAGTGCGGTAGTCATCGGCAAGGACGGCGTAGTGCAGAGCTGTGCAACCCTTGAAGCTGGCACGATTGTTCAGCCGGTTGTTGAAGTCATCTTCTCGGGTGACCAGGACTAGAGAGACAACAACATGGACATTTCCATTAGGAACATTTTCCAGGAGTTACCAATCGCACTTTCTTTCTCCTAGTATTTCCACTTATTTGGCTCTCCATTTACTGAACATAAAACAGTACCTATTATGTGCCTGTCCTGGCATTTGTGTTGGGTAAAAAGAGGTAAAACAGAAGTCAGCTAATTCAACAAATATTTACTTAGTCTTCTTATGTGTTAAAGGAACCCTGGTAGTGTAATGTGTTATGTGTTGGGTTGCTAATCAGAGGTCAGTGGTTCAAATCTATCAGTCAAACAGAGGCAGAAAGACAAGACAATCTTTTGTAAAGATTTTCAGCCTTGGAAACCCAAAGGAGGGTGACCCTGAGTTGAGACTGACAAGAGGGAATTGACTTGGTTTGGGGCTTATGTGTTACACTTTATCTTGGGGACATATAAATGAATCAGATACAGCTCCTGATCTATTCTGATGAAGACAGCAAACAACAAACATATTCTGAGCATACTGCTTGAGATAACTACTTTGTTAGAAGTATTAAAGGATGTTCTCGGAAGCTAAATAAAGTTTATCTCAACTTGGGCATGAAGCAAGGATCCTAGAAGATGAATCTTGAAGCATGAAGAGGAGTTATCCAGGTAGAAAAAAGACTGAAGTAAAACTGGAGGATGACAGAAGGCTATTCATAGCATAGGAATAAAACATTATTCTGCTTTTATGGTGTTTACAATCTTTGTTTTCAGGTGCCATCTAATCAACCAGAATACTTGATTGTGCTCATGCTCATACTTGGACCAGGAAGCAGCCATCAGAACAAAGCAAAGAAATTGTATGGTTTAAAATCAGGAAAGGAATCCAACAGGGATTCATCCAGATTCCATATATTCTCAATTTATATGCGGAACTTATCATTCGGGAGGCTAGACTTGAGGAGGAATGTGGCATCCGAATTGGAGGAAGACTCATCAACAACCTGCATTATGCGTATGATACAACCTTGCTTGCTGAGACTGAGGAGGACCTGAAGCATCTGCTGCAGAAGGTCAAGGACTATAGTCTCCAATAAGGATTAAAGCTCAACATCAAGAAGTCAAAGATTCTCATCTTTGGGCCAACTGACAGCATCAGGTTAGAGGGAGAAGAAATTGAGGTTGTTAACAATTTCAGTTTTCATGGTTCCATAATCAACAGTCTTGGCATTAGAAGTCAGGAAATAAAAATACAAATTGTACTGGGAAAATATGCTGTTAGAGTTTTCTCCAGAGTGCTAAAGAGCAAGGATGTCAGTCTAGAGACCAAGGTGTACCTAATCCAGGTCATGGTCTTTGCAATTGCTTGCTACGCATCAGATAGCTGGACAATGAATAAGGGTGACAGAAGAAGAATCAATGCCTTTGAGTTGTAGTGCTGGAGAAGAGTACTGAATACAGAGCATGGACTGCCAAGAGAATAAAAAGACCTGTCCTAGAGAGGGTAAAACAAAATTTCTCCAGAGAGGCAAGGATTTTGAAGCTCTGTCTTACTTACTTTGGGCATGCTGCTGGGAGGGACTGGTCCTTAGAGAAGGACATCATGCTTGGAATGGTGGAGAAATGGTGCAGGAGAGGAAGACCCTGGATGAGATAGATTGACATAGTGACTGAGGTAATGGGGGCAAATATGTCAGAAAGTGAGATTAGCTCAGGATAAGGCAGATTTCTGAGCTATTGTGCATAGTATAACTATGATGCACAAAACAACCACAACAACAATCAATTAGTAAGTAATTTTTACTTTCAAAATTTTTAAAAGAGTAACTTTTTTAATTACAGAAAAGAACAAAAAAGAAAATGAAAGGTACCAACAATTTCAGCAATTGGAAGGGGTCGTGGTACTAGGGATATTGTTGCTGATGTTAGATGGATCTTGGCTGAAAGCAAGGAATACCAGAAGAATATCTATCTGTGTTTCATTGATTATGCAAAGGCATTTGACTGTGTGGATCATAACAAACTGTGGCTGACTCTGAGAAGAATGGGAATCCCAGAACATTTAATTGTGCTAATGCGAAACCTATACTTGGACCAAGAGGCAGTAGTCAGAACAGAGCAGGGTAACACTGCATGGCTCAAAATTGGGAAGGTGTACGCCAGGGATGCATCCTGTCTCCATACCTTTTCAACATATATGAAGAGCAGATTATCCGGGAGGCTGGGCTCTATGAGGAGAACTGTGGCATCAGGATTGGTGGAAGATCTATTAACAATCTGCGTTATGCAAATGACAAAACCCTGCTTGCTGAAACTGAGGAGGACCTCATGCACTTGCTGAGAAGGGTCAAGGACTGCACCCTTCAGTATGGACTGAGGCTCAATGTCAAGAAGACAAAGATTCTCACCACTGGACCAATTGGCAGCGTCAGGATGGATGGCGAAGAGATTGAGATTGTTCACAGCTTCAGTTTGCTCGGCTCCACAGTCAACACTCTTGGCACCAGCAGTCAGGAAATCAAAAAGCATATCACGATGGGAAAGTCTGCTGTTAGGGACCTCTCTAAAGTACTCAGGAGCAACGGTGTCTCTCTAGAGACTAAGGTACGCCTGATACAGGTCACGGTCTTTGCAATCGTTTGTTATGCATCAGAGAGTTGGACAATGACTAGGGAGGACAGAAGGAGAGTTGATGCCTTTGAGCTGTGGTGCTGGAGAAGAGTACTGAATGTACCATGGACTGCCAGGAAAACAAACAGATTCATCTTGGAGAGGATTAAACCAAGCTACTCCTTGGAGGCAAGGATTCTGGGGCTTCGTCTGACATACTTTGGACATGTTGCCAGGAGGGATGGGTCCTTGGAGAGGGACATCATGCTTGGGAGGGTGGAGGGACGGCGCAGGAGGGGAAGACCCTCTATGAGATGGATTGATTCGGTGACTGGGGTAATCGGGATGGGTGTGTCAGAGGCAGTGTGGTTGGCGCAGAATAGAGCAGGGTTTAGGGCTGTTGTGCATAGGGTCGCTATGAGTCACAAACGACTTGACGACACATAACAACAACAACAGCATATATAGTCTATAATTATGGAGTTTACCATATGTGTAATTTTACAATATTCATTTTTATCCTTAATAAATACATCGTGAACATTGTTTTGTGAAACAAGAATAAGCATTTTGTGTGGCAAAGAATGCAAAACCCACAAGTGTACTCTGATGCTAATATTTTCTCTATGCTTTGATAGAAAAGAACCTAAAATGAGGTCTATGGCTTCTGTAAGATTCTCTGGATTGAATGATCACAGATTCCTAGTATCTGGATTTACATTTTTTATTCTAGAAAGTATCACTTTAGACAATATATTGGAAGGATACTCCACCTCTTGGGAAATAAGACCCCATCAACAATAGGCATTCTGCTCAAGTGATGAAATTTCTATGATGATGTGTTGGTTTTTTTTCCTAAAAAAGCTTATTGTTTTGGGTTTTTATTATTATTTATTTTTATTGTGATTTGTATGAAAATTTCCAAAGCAAATTAATTTTTTATTCAACCATCTGTGTACATTTTACCTTCTAATATTACCAAACTCACAATGTAATTCTACATTTCTCACTTTCCCCTGGTGATTCTCATTTCCATTAACTCTCCTATACATCTGCATCTTCTCTTTCTTTAATGATATTTTGTTGATAATTCCCTCATCTATTTTTTTACTCTCCACTCTCCCTTTTCACCTCTTGTAGCCATTCAAAAATTATTCTATCTGTACCTAAACTATTTCACAGGTTTTTAAAATAGTGGCTATAGACAGTATTTGTCCTTCTGTGACTGACTTATGTCACTCAGCATAATGTCCTCTAGATTTGTCCCTGTTAGGCAGTGTGTCATGAGTTCTTTAGTGTTGCACAGTACTGCACTGTGTACCATACTTTATTTAACCATTTATCCATTGATGGACATTTGAGTTATTTCCCTCTGTTATTTAAATAATGCTGCAAAAAACACGAATGTGACCTATATTGTGTTGCAGCTTTAAAATATATACATACCAGTAGGAATGCTGGATCAAATGGAATTTTTATTTTCAAATGTTTTTTGTTATTGTTTCATAAAATTTATTTAAATTATGTATCTGTATGTGTGCTAGTGAAGAGATTGGATTGTTAACAAGCTTTAGTTTGCTTGGCTCCACAATCAACACTCTTGGTACCAGCAGCCAAGAAATTAAAAGACAAATTGCATTGGGAAAGTCTGCTGTCAGAGACCTCTTCCAAGTACTGAAGAGCAATGATGTCAGTCTGGAGACTAAAGTGTGCCTGATCCAGGGCATAGTCTTTGCAATTACTTACTATGCATCAGAAAGCTGGACAATGACTAGGGATGATAGAGGGAGAGTCGATGCCTTTGAGCTGTGGTGCTGGAGAAGAGTACCGAATATACTATTGACTGCTAAGAGAACAAACAGGTTCTTCCTAAAAAGGGTAAAACCAGGCTGCTCCTTGGAGATAAGGATTCTGAGGCTTCATCTGACATACTTTGGACATGTTGCAAGGAGGGAACAGTCCTTGGAGAGGGATGTCATGCTTGGAAGGGTGAAGGGACAGCGCAAGATTAGAAGATCCTCAGTGAGATGGACTGATTCAGTGACTAGGGTAATGGAAGTAGGTGTGTAAGAGACAATAAGATTGGCACAGGATAGAGCAGGGTTTAAGGCTGCTGTACACAGGGTTGCTATGAGTCGCAGATGACAGCACATAACAACAACAACAATATGTGCTGGATGATATTATTTTCCTTAATATTTTTTATAGTAAAAACAAAAATACAAAAGCCACCTTTCTTTCTATCAAATGATTTCCTAGATGTTAAGATGCAAGAATCTGTTATCTGTGGTTGCCCAGACTATTTAGAGATAATTGAGCCTTCCTATATTTCATTCTGGAGACCTAGGTGTGCCTGATCCAGACCATGGTCTTCACAATTACTTGCTATGCTTCTGATAGTTGGGCAATGAATAAGGATGACA